GGGTGTCGTGGTTTACATACCCATATATAGCTTTTTCATGCAGGCCTTGATTTCACAATTGAAACATTATAAAGGCGTTCTTCATTAGCATATTCAAAGTCAGACAACTTGAAATAATTGCACTGAGTTAGAAAAATACAGCTCAATGGAGCAAAATAAAACTCGAGAACTTGTGACTCTATATATCTCAATATTCTTTAAAATTGTGACTTCTCTGTTTCTGCGAATGACGGGGGACAAGAAAGGACAGCGATTTGACAACGTAGAAGAGGTGAAGGAAATGCTGAGGGCGGTGCTGTCAGTCATCCAAACAGATGAGTTTGAAAATGTTTCCAAGGATGGAACTGCAGATTTAACAAATGTATTAAATGTAATGGAGAGTACTTTGAAGATGTTAAGGTTGTTTTGTAACAAACTTTAAACACATAGCTTTGAAAAAAAATTCTGTTTTTTGAGGGGGGTACCCCCTCATATATATGTGTGTGTATATATATATACATACGAGATCACAAAGTATGCAGTGTCTTGTAATTTATTTTCTTACTTCTATTTAATTGTACAATTTAAAAATTTCCCAGGTCTCTACACGTAGATTTCACTTTTGACTATAACATCATTATAGTTCATTGTATCTATGTATTCCATAGAAGGTTTATTAGACTGTTTCTAGCCTTTCACTACTATAAATAATGCTTCAATGAGGTGTATGTTTTTGTTTATACCTAAAAATCATTTTTCTAGGATAGATATTACTACGGATTGAATTGAGCTCCCCCCAAAATATGCTGAAATCCTCATCTAACTGTGAATATGGCCCTATTTAAAAATAAAAGTTTCTTTTGAGGCCTGGTCATATAGTGGTTATGCAATGGGCTGTGATTCACAAGGTCAACAGTTCAAAACCACCAGCCACTCCTTAGGAGAGAGACGAGGCTTTCTACACCTGTAAACAGGGATAGTCACGGAAACTCACAGGCAGTTCCCCCTTGTCTTCTAGGATTGCTGAGAGTTGGCATGGACTCGAGGGCAATGAGTTTGGTTTTGGTTTTGAGACATAAAAAGAACAGAACAGGCAGAGCCACAGAGGAAGACAGACCCTAAAAACACCAAGGGACACCTGCAGACTCCCAAAGCTAGCGGAGGCCCACAGGAGGAAATGGCCTGGTGGAAACCCTGATGTGGGCTTTAGCTTCCAGAACTGTAGGGCAGCCAATCTCTGCGCTTGGAAGCACCCACTTGCGGGGAACTTTGTTACAGCAGCACCGGGTAACTAAACAGACATCCAGAATAAGGCAGGCTGGTTCAAAAAGGCGGCACGTTTGAAATTTCAATAGATACTGCCTCATGGCCCTTCAAGAAAGCTGTCCCAAATTACACGCCCATTATCAATGCCAATTCCTTCAGCATCTCCTAATCTGGACAGCCTTCCACCTCCAATCTGTGAGATGAAATTTAATTTGTAGTCTCCAGACTACTCGGGAAACGAGCACTCTTTCCACTTTACCAGCTGTGGCTGTGCCTTTCTTCGGTGAATGACTTTTATGCGTGTCTTTTGCTCATTTTTCCATTAAGAGTTGATCTGTCATTCTTATTTATCTTTCCATTTCTTGACTCACAGGAATCTGTATGATTTTTCTTTTTAATGTTCTAAATTTCTTTGGATTTGCTGGATCTTTATCTCATAAAAACTTGTAAGATTTGCTTCAATTCTTCTTGGTTTTTTTTTCAAATGTGCCGGTTTTAATGGAAGTTGTGTACAAGATATTTTACTCTTGCATTTTCTCAAGTGATTCTTCCTTGTATTTGCCCTTTTCCTTTCCTACTTGGCGAGATTTGGGTTTCCGTTCCAGGATCTGTTTGCGGTCTTTGTCCAGTTTTAACCTTGTCATAACCACGTGGCTGGGTGAATGCCCAAATGGACAGTGGTGCCGCGAGCTTTATCTCGCTGCACGCGCTCAGTGTAGATGACGTATTTCTTCCGGTAAACCTGGACCACTTTGCCACTCTGCTGACCTTGGTAGTGTCCTCGCACAGCCTGAACTTCATCATCCTTGCGGATGGGCATGGACCAAACATTGTATTTCTGTCTCAGTTCCTTAGAAAGAGGGGAAGACATAATCTTCCTGCGAACATGGGAAGGTGCGCTGAAATGCCTTTTCCTGTTTTTGCTCCCGTCCCAAGTCACAAAGGGATTGAACTTCATTTTGGCTCTGCCGGTTCTGTAAGTTTCCACGAGATCTCCGACTTGCTTTCATTCTTATGTTCTTACCTTTGACCTCTTATCTGTAATTGCAGTACTAGGATTAGGCTGGAGCATGGTGTCTTAGATATTATTTCCTACTTAATCTGAAACTTTTTATGCTTTAGACAAACTCATGGAACAGTTGCTAAAAAGAATAATCCTTTAACTTTATGTTGCTTCTCGTCAATAAAAGAAGTGAATGTCTTCAGAAACTATTTTTAAAATGTAAAGAGATCATCCCTCATAACCTAACACAACCATCTGGCAGGCCTAGATTTTGTTGCTGTTTGGCACTGTGTCCATTCTCCGTGGGTGAGAAGGGGAGTCCTTCCGTGCCGAGCAGAACCGCCCCAAAGGACTTCCCAGGCGGGACTTCAGAACCAGACTGCGAGGTCGATCTGCTGAGGAGCCTTCCGGGGGTTCAAACCGCCAGTCTTTGGGCTGGTCACCAGGTGCTTATCCTTCACCCAACCCAGGCACTTCTGGTCACGGAGTAAATACTCAAAAATATTACACACTGAAACAGCTAAAAAGAGACCAGCTATACGAATGCTTCATTGGAAAATTGCTACTGATACACAAAACGTTGGCCACCAGCGAAAACATAGAGCTTCTCTCATATACAAATGATCCAAGAGGAACGGACCTAAAGAAACCTCTAAGTCCACTCTCTGTATGGCAAACTGTCAAATCATTTTTGTTTCTAAACCAGCCTACTCCACACACCTCTAATTACACATGGCACTTACGATTCTTGTGGCCTAATGTCATAATCCTGTCCATATCATCGGCATTATTTACCACGTAAGCTGACAAATCTTTAATATAAACTCCCACATCAGGTCTTTCTTTAACCTAAAAAATCAAAACATGAGGGATCATAAGACTTTACACTCAATATGTCTCTTGCAATTATTTACTGACAATCTGCTTTTGGTTAAAGAAGTAATTAATTTATTAATTAATTTATGTTATGTGTTAATTAATTTATTTTGTGATTATCTGACATTTATTCAAATATTCACACATTTTTTTCTACTCTAAGATGAATGGTGAAAGTGGTCTTTAGAGGGTTAAACTCCTCCCACAAACTGTACAAAGCTGGAATTTCTCAAGTAAGAAGTTTGGTTAGCTTCTTCAGATTAAAAATATGTTTTGGGGGTTTTTTAAATTTCTATTTTATTTGGGCCTCTTACAGTTCTTATCACAATCCATACATACATCCATTGTGTACTTCTATACATACGTTGTCATCATCTTTTTCAAAACATTTTCTTTCTACTTGAGCCCTTGGTATCAGCTCATTTTTTGCCCTCCCTCTCTCCCCTCTACCCCGTGATAATTTTTAATTATTCTTTTTTTCGTGTCTTACACCGATTGCTGTCTCCCTTCACCCACTGTTCTGCTGTTCGCCCCGAGATGGGGGCCATACGTCGATTACTGTGATCTGTTCCCCCTTACTCCCCCACCCCCTTCCCTTACTCTACTAGTATCGCTGCAGTGAAAAATGTGTTTCTTACATGCATGCCTAGATCTAATAACACTATCTCTGGCACCTTAAAAAAATTTTGTCATAAAAATCTGGAGCCATTATGAAAAGGTATGGTCTCATAAACCCTGTTTGTCAGGGTCATAGCCACTTTACTTGTAAGAGCCAGGACTATCAAAGACCCAGATGGCGCCAGCAAGTGAAGGAACGGTGAAACTATAGCACATAAGGGGTTTCAAAGAGTTGTGAGAAAATTCCACTATCTTTTCACTGCATTTTCCCACGAACTTTTTGAAATCCCTTCAACTACCTTCCATTGGACATTATTGAGCAATAAAAAGGAACAAACCACTGAGACATTCAGCAACTTGGATGAGTCATCAGGGGAACTAAGCTGAGTAAACAAAAGCTGATTTCCACAAGGTTACATGTCATGGGATTCCATTTATATGACAAAACATAGAAATGAAACACTAATCAGGTGCTGCTAGGGGCTGTGGGCAACAGTAGCTGGGAGAGGGGTTGTGGGAGGAGATGGGGATGCTTACCAAAGGGGACCTCAAGGACCTATGGGGACAGTGAAGTTTTGGTCATGAGAGAGGAGGCACAGCATGGTTGCACAACTTAAAGAATGTGGATCAGTGCCACTAAATTAGGCATGTGAAAACTGTTAAACCAAAGGACAGTTTGCTGTGTATGTACTCAACAACAAAATAAATCAAATTTAGAAGGATCAAACAGAAAATTGGGGGGGGGGGTCAGCATGAACATTGTGTGCCAACATGAGGGAACTTTCTATGCCTTGATTGCAGCAATGGGCACAGAAGCCTGCACACTTCATACACCAGCACAGGACACAAGGGAGCACAAGTGAGACTGGAAACACATGGATACAACCTGTGCATCGTACCAGTGTGGACGCCTGCTTGTGAATGCCGCTACCCCTTGCTGCAGGGGACCTGTAGGAGGGGTGGGAGCTGGCTTGGTCTTCATTTTACAGCTGCATGAGATCTACAATTACCCCCAAAAAGTTTCCATGGAAAAAAGTATCAAGGTGCAGATCGGTGTATATAGTGTTCTACCTTTGCTATAAAAGTTGCATTTCATAAATGAACACTGAAATGATATTAAAAGTATTATTTTTACTTAGGGTGAGGAGAAATGAAATGGGAACAATTATTTTTTAAGGTATAATTTTTAATACTATTCAAACTTTTGGGTGCCATATGATACCTGTGTATTACCCACCAAATAAGTTAAGTATTAAACTTAACTTTGACACAATAAAGCCCTTAATTTAGTAAACGTTCCATTGCTTTGGAAAGTACTCAAATGTCACGTGTCGTTACCTCTAACCTCTGTGTTTGATCCTTGCCCAAAAGGTCACGAACTTCTTCATTATATATTTCCAAATAAGATACTCGAACCAGAAATCTATAAATTTTAAATAAAATATTTTAAAATTACTTTCATTATTACCAATATTATAAATAAAATGTTATTTTAAAATATAAAACATTTTAAAAGTTTAAAATGTTTAGAAAAGGTAAACCTTATACCTTTCCAATGTTTATAGAATCTTAATAATGGGGGGAGGGGGTTCTTTTTTTACCTTGTATCGCCTTCTGCTTTTGCAATATGACCAAATATGTGAGCGAATGAGTTTGGAATGATTCCTCTGAGTTCAGGAACAGCTCGAACACCTTCCATGGTGAAGGTTTTGCCTGTTCCCGTTTGTCCATATGCAAAAATCGTTCCTGAAAATGAAGAGAATAAGTCATGTTTTAGAGCAAAGCTACACATCAGTGGCTCTTGAAATTCTTTTAACAGTAGGGTCCCTTTAAAATCAGGTTCTATCAAAACAGTGGCTTTAATCCCAGGCAGAGGAGTCGGCCCAGAAGCGTGTGCCCCCAGGGCAACCTTGACAGGCCATCCACGATCACGAGCCCTTGTTATGAGGCGTTTTCAGAAAACTGACAACTGCACAGGCAAGCAAAAGACCAGGAATGTGACACCAAGGCATCCCTCCATCACAGCCACGCACCTGCTCTTTCTGCAAGGGTGACCAGGGCTATCCTACAGCCTTCCCCCAGCCACCCTACAGTCCTGATCTTGTCCTAAAAGCAAAGGCAAACCATGGAATGATTTCCCATTGGAGGTGTGTCATAATGGGCACCATGGGAAAGAGAAAGGTACAAGGATTTCAGAGACATTAACTGAAAATCTACAGGGCTGGCAGACTAGACATAGGGGCAGGAGGATGGATGGGGTGGGGGAAATCAAGGATGCCATCAAACTCTTCACTTAAAAAAGGGAGTCCACGGCCATGCTGGGAGAAAGACGAAGCCTTCTCTCCCGTAAAGAGTGAGTCTCAGAACCCACAGGGCACTTCGACCCATCATCCTACAGGGTCACTGTAAGTCAGCATCGACTGGAAGGTAGTGAGCTTGAGTCCTACTGAGGTCCGGCATTGCCATATAAAGAACAAGGCAGAAGCCGAGATCATGAATTCCGTTGGCAATAGATTGGAGCTAATCTTAGGGATTCCCAACTAGGAGAAACTAACTGAAAATAAAACACACAAATGGGCTAAAGGTGGAAGGACAGAAAAAGAAACGCCCTGGAGGGCTGACTGTATTCATGGATTTGCCTTTCCCCACCCGTGTATTCCAATCAAATTTTGCAAGTAAGCGCAATTAATCTCAAAGATGAAGAAAGAGCATAAAGTGATATTTGCATTGTATTAAGTGTTATAAGTAATCTAGAGATGATTTAAACTACATGGGAGGGCCTGTGTTGGTTGTATGCAAATACTGTACCAATTTATATAAGGGACTTGAGCATCTGCAGATTTTAGTATCTGTGGGGTGGAGGTGGAGTCGGGTCCTGGAACCAATCCTCCACAGATATTGTAGGATAACTATATAGTCAGAGAATTTAAAACTCCTCTCTCAATAATTGATAAGCCAAGTACACTGACATGCAGTTAGGATATAAAGGAGCTGAACAACACTGCCAACTCAATTAACATAACATTCTACTCAACCCAATACCAGGACACACATTCTTTTCAAATATACATTAAATATTTAGTAATAGATACTGTATCCTGAACTAGAAAACAAGTTTCAATAAATGTAAAAGGAGTCATGTCATACAATATATGGTCTCTCACCACAATTAATTAAATATGAAATCACTAATCACAAAAATTGGAAACTAAGTGAAATAGCTAAATAACCCAAAGATCAAAGCCTTCAAGAGGGCAAGTATCTTGTACTGTGTGAAAATGAAAATACATTCAGTATGTCAAAATCTGTGGAAAGGGGGTGGGGGTATGCCTAACATTAAATCCCTATGTGAGAAAGGCAGGAAGGTCTCACACCAGTGACCTCCATTTCCTCCTTAAGAGTGTAAAAAATGGCCAGTTAACCAAAATAGGAGGGGGTGAATGATAACCACACCCCAGGAGGAATCCATGAAAACTATACAGAGAAATCAATAAAACCAAAAGCTGGTTGAGAAGATCAATGACAAAGATAAACCTCTAGCCAGACTAATGAGGGGAGGGGAAGAAATGACCATCAGCAGGAATGAGCATGGGTGCATCACTACAGATTCTTAATGCATTAAAAAATAATAAGGACGTATTATAAAAACAACTTTTAGCCAATAAAACAACTTTTAAAGTAGTCAAATTCCTTAAAAGCACAAACTACCTAAGATCACTCAAGAAAAAAAGATTACCAAAAACAGTTCTATCTAAAGGAGCCCTGGTGGTGAAGCGGTTACACGCTGGGCTACCATCCACATGGTTGGCAATTCACTACCACCAGCAGCTCTGCATGAGAAAGACTGGGCATTCTCCTCCCGGAAACAGCTACAGTGTTAGAAATCCAGGGAAACAGCTACAGTGTTAGAAATCCAGGGGGTCACTATGAATCAGCCTGGACCCATGGCAGTGGGGTTGCTTTATCATTCATTCTTGTTATCAAAGAAATTTAATTTGAAGTTAAGAACCTTCCCACAAAGAAAACACCAAGTCCACATGCCACCAATAGTGAACTCATACTGCAAGAAGTAGTAACTCCAATTCTAGATAAATTATTTCAGATCATTGAAAAGGAAAACTTCCCAACTCACCTAGGAACTTAGCATTCTTAGGATACCCAACCCAAACAAAGGTACTTACAAGAAAACATCATATACCCCCATGAGCATAGCTGTAAAAATGTTCAATAAAATCTGAGCAAATAGCATCGACTGTTGCTGTTAGGTGTTGTCGAGTCCTTTCTGACCCGTAGCAACTCTATGTACAAAGAACAAAATACTGCCCGGTCCCGCACTATCCTCACAGTTGCTCCTACTTTAGGGGCCATTTTGCAGCCACTGTGCCAATCCATCTCATCGAGGGCCTTCCCCTGTTTTACCTGCTCCTCGTCTTTACCGAGCATGGTGTCCTTCACCAGGAGCTGGTCTCTCCTGGTAACATGTCAAAAGCACACCACTCTTGCTTTTAAGGAGCAATCTGGCAGTACTTCTTCTGAGACAGACTTGTTGATTCTTTTGGCAGTCCGTGGTACTTTCAATATTCTTTGCCAACACTACAATTCAAGCACATCATTTTCTCTCTGATTTCCCTTATTCAATGTCCAACTTTCATATACATATGAGGCAAATGAAAATACCATGGCTTGGGTTAGATGCACTAGTGCTCAAGGGAACATCCTTGCTTTCAATATTCTAAAGAGGTCTTGCGTAGCAGATTTACCTAATTCAATGTATTGTTTGATCTCTTGACTCCTGCTTCCATAAGCATGGACGGTGGATCCAAGCAAGACAAAATCCTTGACTTCAATCATTTCTCCATTTATCACCTATTGATCCACCTGTAAGGATTCTGGTTTTCTTTATTTATTTATTTTAAATCATTTTATTGGGGGCTCTTACAGCTCTTCTATCAATCCACACATCCGTTGTGTCAAGCACATTTGTACATATATTGCCACATGTTGTCAATAAGCACCCAATTCTGATACGTCTTTTTCATCTAGTCCAGCTTCTATGATGATTTGCTCCGCATACAGATTCATTAAGTACAGTGAGAGGATACAACCATGGCAAACACTTTTCTTGATTTTAAACCATGCACTAACCCCTTGTTCTGTTTGTACAATTGCCTCTCGATCCATATACAGGCTCCACATGGACACAATAAACTTCTCTGGAATTCCCAATCTTCTCAAGGCTACCCAGTTTGTTATGCTCCACAGAGTCTAATGCTTTTGCATAATCAACAGAGCATAAGTAAACATCTTTCTGACGTCAGCCATGAACCCCCTCCCGTGCCCCTCGTGCCCCTCTGAATCCAACCTCCACCTCCTCAGCAAAATGTTGCTTGCATGAAATACCAGTGATATTTTTCTACAATTTGAGCATTCTGTTGGGTCATCTTTCTTTGGAATGGAGACAAATACAGTAATAGTTGTACTGACTGAATTTCCTTATATGTGGACAGATATTATCCTATCACAGACAGCACTGCCCTTCAAGATAGATCTTGCAATCCCCTTCTCGATGATGAACATGACACCTCTTGAAATCTGTCGCTCCTGGCAGATGATTTTGATTCAGAATGCTAACGCCAGTCCATTTTAGCTCACTAATGCATAGGATATCCATCTTTGTGTGTTTCATTTCATTTTGGAGGATGTCCAGCTTTCCTAGATACATACTTTATTAAGTCCCAGCCATTAACAGATGTTTGCATCTGTTTCTTCTCATTTTGAGTCATGCCCAGCAGCAAATGAAGGTGCTAAAGGCTTTATTCCTTCAGACTTTGCTCCAGCCACTCAGTATGGTCAAGTCTACTTTGAGAAGGCACCTCTCCGACTCAGTCATTATGTTGAGCGCCTTCTGCCCTCACGGGCACATCTTCTGCCACTATCTCTGACGGTGATCTTCGGATATTCAGAAGGTTTCTTCAGTATCTGGCAATGTTTCAACGCTATCCATACGGTTTTCAAAGGCTAAATCCTCTGACGTGGGCAGCCTATTCCTTTTTTCATAACTGGTTCTTAGTCTGAAAGCGCTGCTGAAACCTACTCACTTTGGGTTGACTCTGCTGTTTGAAAATACCAGTGACATAACTTCCAGAATCACAGCAACACACAGCCACCACAAACTGACAGACAAGTTACGGAAATAAAATCTAACATTATATAAAAAAGATAATACTGCATAACTGGATAGAGTCTATCTTAGAATGCAAGGCTGGCTTAGTATATTTTTAAATTTATCAATATAATTGATCATATTAAAAATTTTAAAAAGATAATTTCAAAAGGCAGAGAAAAAGCCTTTGTCAAAATCTCACAATCAATCCTGAAAAAAAAAATTCTCAAAAAACTGGTAACAGAAAAAAAAGACATAGTTGTATTGATAATTAGTGTGAGTGAAATGAAAAAGTTGAAAACAAAGAGCTAAGATCAGAAGGAGGGAATTCTGGCCACTGTGACAGAAACAAAGCTGGAGGTCCCATGATAGATTTCTGCACAGCCAACGACTTCTTCATTGCAAATTTTTCAACAGCAGAACAATAATTATAGGCATGGACATCACCAGGTAGAATACACAGAAACCAAACTGTGTTAGACAGGGTTCTCTAGAGAGATAAAACCAGATTGCTGATAATTT